GAGGGGGGAGAGGAAGGGGGAAGAGAGAGGTGGAGGGAAGTAGGACGAGGAGCAAGAGGATCCGAAGGGGCTGAAAAGAGGCGCGCGGGGACATCACTGCTCCTGACTCCCTTCTGCTTTTCTTTTTTTTGTGAACTCAGAAAATCAGAAAGAGGTAGGTTGGGAGGGAGTCCCACAAGATACGATTAGGGGGCCTCTGGCCGAGTGCCGAAGGTGACTCTCATATGTCTGTAATCCAGCCTCTACAACAACCTGGGCTTAAAAAAAAAAAAAAAAAACAGTGACAACTTCTGACTCACTTGTTGCACGCGGTAATTCCTCCCACCGCAGAGTTAATCTGAGAGAGGATTAGCTCAGGATAATTGGGAGTTATCCTACCCCTTGGAGAGGGAGGGAAGAGAGAGGGAACTTCGGCAGGGACGAGAAGAGAAGAGCAGCCCAGATCCCAACCGCGCAGGTCGCGGAGAGCAGATGGGTTGGCGAACACGCATTCCCCCGCTGGCTGGCGGACACTAGGCGGAGCGAGTGGCCGGCCGACTTGCCCGCGGACTAATCTATTACAGCGCGCTGGCAATTGCGCCGACATACCCGCAGAGGCGCCAAGCGGAGGACACATCCACAGAGAGTGGGTCTTGATGCCGAGCGCAGCCGCAGAGGGGGGTTTGTCGTTAGCGGGCTTATCTACCAAGAAGGGGGCTGGATGCGCAGACATCTGCCAAGCGGCGGCGCAAAGTACATCAGGGGTAATGCCGAGAAACGGCGGCAAGCGGATGGGTTGGATTGCGCAGAGATCTGCAGAGGGGCGGCGTCAAATAAATACGCTGAGCAATGCTGAGGGGCGCCGACAAGTTGAAGGCGGAGCAGGGCGGACAAGCCTGCGGAGAGGCAGGCGGACATGTCCGCCGAGAAGGGAGCTGGATTGCGCAGACATCTGCCGCGGGGCAGCGGCAAGTATATGGCGGATAAGTCTGAGGCGCAGCGCCAAATTGATGGGCAGAAGAATTGCGCATACATTTGCTGAGGGGCGGCGATGGCGGAGCACGGCGGACAAGCGTGCGGAGAGGCGGGCAGACGTATCTGCCGAGAATGGGGCTGGATTGCGCAAATATCTGCCGCCGGACGGCGCAAAGAGTACATAATTGATAATGCTAAGGGGCGGCGCCAAGTAGATGGGTTGAATCGCGCATACATTTGCTGAGGGGCGGCGCGCAGTAGATGGCGGAGCATGGCGGACAAGCCTGCGGAGAGGCGGGCGAACATCCCCGCCGAGGGGCGCCGCATGATGACAGGTACACATCCTTCGCGAAGTCTGGACACCGGCAGACGACATAAGATCGCCGGAAGCACATGCTGGCACACGCGCCCGTGGAGGGGGCGCGTCTGCCGGGGGTAGGGTGGGCGCGCGGAATTCGCGCAAGCACGGGCGTTGCGCGCGCATCCGCCGAGTGGAGATGTCAGAAGATGCACCCATTCTCCGTCACCCTTCTTTCCCCGAGCACAACGCAGCCTAATCGAGAATGTATACAAGTTATCATTCCGGTCTGGTACAGTCCCATGGTGAGGGGGGGAAGACAGGCGCAGACATCCCACAGGCGGAGGAGGTGGCAAACGGAACGGAACGGAACGGCGGAGGGACGCGGCACGATGACGTGTATAATAAGCACCTTCACGAAAGGGGGGAAGGGGCTGGGG